ATGAATTCAGAGATGAATAATCCAAGTGCAATGTGGCTTTGCATCCAGAAATATGGCATTGAATTCTGCAATAGACTAGCGTCGGCTTGTGCGATGATCAAGAAGGTTACTATGCCCACAGTGACCATAAATCTACCGGAAATAATAGCAAGCTGCGTCGCTTCAGGTATAGCACCGTTATCAATGATTCACACTAGCAAACTGCATACTTACCGCTCCCAACTGCAATTACATTCAACTGCGTAATCGTTGTCAATTACATGCTGAGTGGAATTTCGCCGTGTAGCTTCCATTCCTGTTTCTGATCAGAGGATCATTGAAGTTCATGACATATGTAATCATGGAGTGCTCTTCAATGTGTAGCAAGTTCCATTAAGGAAGCAAGAATTTCTTGTTGAATTACAAGGTGCAGTGTACAGACAGTTCTCTTGCTAGTGTGAAGCAACACTGAACGTGAGGGCACGTGATGTGCGTCGACTAAGTCGATTGGCCATGTGTTTTTTTCAGTGCCAAGCCATGTGTTGTAATTTCAGAGAATTCGCAGGCAATGTGCTACGCCCGTAAAGGACCTGAACAATGTAAAACAGAAGAAAACATCTGTCGGAATCCGAACAATCCTCCAGGGAGCCCGTTGACTATTCCGGAGACGGAGTGCATGAAGAGTCGTACGTTAATTGTTTGAATGATTTCATCCACCTTTCACAAAATGCCTAGCAGATTCGGAGTCGTTCCTCTTCTAGACACCCGCAGTCTTTAGCTACTGTTCACGCCCATTCATATGTATTTTCCAAACTCGCTGGTTCTTTCCTCGGAGCATACGTATGAAATGATCTCCAATTTTACACGTATCCGAGGAAGGCAGCAACGCAATTCACACGATCTGCAACTCGCAGTACGCATAAATGCAGATGAAGACGAAGTGATGCAGACGAAATATTAACGAATCAATGAATGGAATATTCTGCCACTTCAAGTAATTCATCATTGTGTTCAGAGGTTGCAATGGCCACATGCCAGAAGAAATTCGGATCAGAGTGTGTTGCGCTTCAACAAGAATGTGTTGCTGGAACTGGAGCGCCTCCTGTTACGATTGGTGCGAGAGGAGCGTTCATGTTGGCCACAGCACTTCGTTCATGTATCTTCAACGGTATTTACTAACACAATCATTTTACACTATTTGTTCTCCTATGGCAGCATTTCTCAAGTCGTTGCGCTAATTGTCCTCTTTGGCTATATGACAAATCGTCACTCCTCTCCCTCCTCCAACAGGCAATCCCCTCTCTTCTGACAGTATATTGCTCCCGAATGTCACAAGAAAGTAGCTAAAATGATATATTAGACATGAAGTTTGCTGTTAAAATTTTTCGATAATATAACACAGACTAATTCTTTTGGATCCGTGAAGCATTTTGAAATCATTTTGAGTGCTATGGTCAAAATTTTACGAAAAACCATTTTAAATTTTCAGAAAATTTTGAGAACAAATTTTTAAAGAGTCAGCAGTGATTTGCCAACTTCTTTAATTTCACTCCACCTTCTAAAGACAGAGACACTTTCAAATTTCTTCGAACAGAGAGATTCCCCCTTTCCTCCATGAAGACTGTATCGCTGTTCCCTGTTTCAAGCATTTGATCATTTCTCCATACAGACTACTTGACCATTGCCGCATACTGCATCATAAGCACTAATAAGTCACTACTACAAGCCAAGTCCATAAATCATAATTCTATGAGTCACTTACTTAAGCCCCTCCGTAATTTCGATTTTGCACTCAATTTGCAGTTCGACATTCGAAGTTCACGATTTGTGATTTGGAACGCAAAACTCGGAATGTGGACAATTTCCGTTGTCGAGACGGAAATAGTTTAGATTCTGAAACCGAAATCATTCGATACCGTCAAGGGTTTTTGACACGATTCACTACATTAATAATAGAACATTGCTAAACGAATGTTATCGAAAATTATCCACTGAGGCTGTGCCCGCATTCAGGCAAAATTCTCAAGGAGCTCGCTGAATCGAATTTGTTTTCTCTTTAGGAGGCGTTATTGGTAGTTGTGTTCTGTATCACCCACCATCTCAATGTGACCAGTGGGTCCAGCAATGTGCCACTGCACTGCAAACATCAGCTGGTGTAACTGTTGCGGGCGGTTATCGCCAGCTATCTCCCCCGATGGCAATATGTGTCGCATCACGTGAGTTGATATCGTTGATAAATCTTTGCAAAGTTTGGTTGAACGTTCAATGAAACACACAGCATTCATCGCGTATTGAACGATCACAAATCAATTGCTTTTCAGAGGATTTGATGACAAGATGCATGACGAGATTGGGCCAAGGAACTTGTCAACAGGCAGTCAAAAACTGCAAGCGAAGATTCAACACACCTTCTTCAAGACTTCCGGGAAGGTTGTGGTCGCTGTCGTCAGAACTAATCAATTGCTTATATCGTCCTGTGAACAGAGCTAGCAACTAACTCCCCAGCAGTAATTGCATCCCAATAATTTCATGTTCTATCCATCTATCTGTTTGCCACTCTTTCGTTCATAATTAAATGAAATATGGTTTGAGCTGAGTGAAGGTGGCTGCTGATTCAAGCTACCTCAACAGCTCACAAAATATTCGTAATTTTCTCAAGTATTAAACTGATATGCTTATTTGTTGAATTGCACTTCCTTCGCCGAATTGAACACCTAATTCATGAATAAATCGTTGAATAAAAGGACGAACGACAGATCACGTTGTATGGTTGGTATTGCTGCTTCTGTGGTTTGAAAACAATAACATATGCTGATGAAACTTTCTAGAACTGATTGCATTATCCTTCAGAACTTCTTGGTAATCAAACAGATTCGTGCTAAGCTATCTTCGTGTATCGATCATAACGTACCCGACTCAATCACCGAACGGTTCTTAGCCATTTCATATAGTGGACCTTTCATTTCAAGGACAAAATGATGTCAGTCATATGGCACCTGAACATGCAAGACACCAAGTGAATGCGATCTGCATAAAATCTCGACATGATCATATGATGGAGGCATAGTGCTAATAAATAGATCAGTCGAACAAGTAGCGATCCTATCTGACGTTTCGGCGGGTTTCTCACATTTNAACATAATCTTTGCTCTGGTTTACGAATTAGAAGGATGGTAATTATGTCAAAGGATCGTAGTTCGCTTTTCACATATTGTTTCTGTTTCTTTTCGCATAGATTCAAATTGATAAGGTCCGAACTGCTCCACTTCAAGACCCTATATAAAATAACAGGATGTTCCCAATGAGTCACTGAGGGATTTTCAATAAGTTCGATTTTATTTTGAGTTTGGTTCTTCCTCTCCCATACAAAGCACATTCAAATTGTTCTTCTTTTGCTTACAATTAGACTTGAATGTCAGCAACGAATGAAGTTGGCAAAGCAAGCGTTACTTGAAACAGTTGCATTCTGGAGAAATCGTTTCGAGAGTTGACGAGTGGCAGTTCGTAAACCGAGAGACATGTTGAAACTACTCGCAGTTTCCACTTGAACAGGCCTCTCGAACTCTCAAGTCGTATTCAAAAATTGTCACAGAATATCCACACTCAAATTCCTAGTCAGAATAGAAGACATTGTTCAGAGAACGTTTTGCCGGTGATGAATGCAATACCTTGCATTCTATCCAAATTCGTTATTGCGTTTACAACTCGATAAATTCCACTATTCTTAGCATATACTTTCCAGGCATACCTCTGCTATTGAACATGTATGTCTCAACGATGTAAACTTGTTCACATCAAAATTAGCACGGCTTTCGAATTTTTGAAAAGTAAGGTTTCCAGTTTTCGAATACAGATTGGATGCCACTCTACAGCTAATACGTGACTGAACAAACCAAAAAAAACATCGGATTAATTTTTCCTTCATGCGATGAACATTCAACCATCACTTCATTGATTTTCCTCGATTGGATACTTCTAGAAAGTCTACGACAACTCTAATTCTCACTTTGCTATCCTGGAACAGCCAGAAGATTTGCGTGTCACGAAAGTGACAATTTCGCGAGATTATATAAATTCGCTCAGTTTACAAAAAAAAAACTAATCTGACATGCACAGAAGCAAAATGTAATGAACGTTTGCTATCAAATACAGATTGACTGATGTCGTTCCTCACTATTCAACATTTTAATTTTGAAGTTTTTCGTTGATTCTAACAATCGCCTTTCTCATTGGAACGAACAAATAAAAACACTAGTAAAACTCATGGGACATAATTGTGTCTAAAAAGCAAACGCATTAGTGGAGACTTGAAAGTTGTCTGGCTAATGCATGAATAAATAGTAGACAAGTGCGGAATGGAAATTCAGTGTTAACGAGAAGTTAACTAGTTTTGTTAGTTGCTATTATATCATTTTCACTGCGAGCCATTAAACAGCATCACGTCTCCAAAGATCGATTCACTAAATTCAGAAGCATTCCATTCCTTGTTGAATCCACTTCGTTTGTATACGAATTGTGCATAGTGCAATGACGTACTCACTAAACAATCTTATCTTGAATACTCGAACGTCGACTTGAATTGTTCTTGGGCGGAGTTGAGGAGAAGCATGTGAGGCGGAGTCGTCAGATCACAGGAATCGATAGTCACGAAGAAGGTGCTTTTGAACGCTCATTGGAACTCCATCATTCGCATGTCCATCTTCTGTTTCTACTTTTTGTTTCTACAATATGCAGGTTAGATCAAAAATCTTTCTCTTATTTTCAACAAAAACACCTTTACAATAAGACTAATAAGTCATTTATGAAAATCTTAATTCGATAAGGAAACGATGAATCACAAATTTGGCTCACCTAACAGAGCAACGCAAAAAAAAACAATTTGCTCCCGCCGCTACATAGTGTAAATTCGATTGTTCTCTAGAGATGACTTACTAAACAAATCTGATGAAGATACGTTTTGGCAATCCCAGATTCTTTCTGTCACAATTCTCCGATTTTAATCCATTTAAAGTTCAGTCCAGTTCGAAGATCACTGGTGTAGAGTTGTCCATCATCAGGCCTGTCAAAATGATCAACGAAAATCTCTCGGAGTCACTAACTGTAGTCACTTGCTTGTAGTTTAGTCTTCAGTCACCATTCTTTTCGTAGTGATAGGGAAGTAAGGAACACAGCCGCATTATGAACGATTTGCCTAGTGTTGGATGCATTTAGCTCGTGGAAAGTTTTATGTTTGATAGCGATCGAGCGGTTTGTACGATGTGAATATTACACATTATGCGATTGACGGTCAAAGTAAATGAAGTGGCATGCGTAATTTGCCGTGCTTCCTGATTATCACTATTCCAAATCAAATTTATCGTGTTTTGGTCACATTCTATCCAGCAGTTCTCAGAAGTAAATTCAGTCTGGAAATGTCTGTTGAAGTGACCGAAATAAGCTCCTCCTATCAGTGTTACGCAACGTGTAATCGGATAATTCACGAGCTGGAGGAAGTTGAATAACTCGAAAAAAAANNNAAAAAAAAGAGTAATATTCACAAGTCTTGACAGAATATTGACCTCAATCTCAAACTCACTTTAGTGGTAATGAACAGAAGTGGCGAGGATGACAGGATTGCCCGTTTTCTGTGTGCTAACGTATCATAACAAATGCATTTGTAAATGTTCGTCATTCACTGCGACTGTTCTATGCATTTCGTGCAACAGAGGACATATTCCTGTTGCATTTTTGGATGTAGGTTAGAATGGTGAGGATATGGGATCTTTGGATATGGATTAGACTTATGAGAATATGGCATTCGTGGGCATGAGTTAGATGGATGAGAATATGATAAGTTTGGACGCAGGAATGTGGCATCTTTCGATCAGCGATGGATGATTGAATCCACAGTGACATGTAGATGAACGCTGTTTCCTGTTGAAGCATCGCAGTGTATCCATTTGAACAAGTTGAAATCAATAGTGCGTTGGGATGAATAAAATTCGTTTGCTATTTTCAAAACGTTGAAACGTTGAAAATACACGTCTCTGTAGAATGTTATTCATCCCTCAACACTGTAACAAAATTATTGGATAATGAGTGCTTGAAATTAGAAAATTTGATTGAAAATTCGTTTTTTCTGTTTGGGTTTATTCGGAAATTTTATGAGTGTCCTTTCGACCATGAACTCATCAGTTTACGTCAAGTCACTTGGAAGCTCGCTATGTCAACAAGCTTTGTTTCGTGTGTATTGGCTTTCGAATTGCACACACCTACATTCACAACTCATTCATGATTAACACAGACTCCAAAAGCAGAGCTATTAGCCTAGCAGTTTTCTTCGTACATCAAACGATCCCAATCTACACAGAAGAACGTTTATTTTGCATTCTTATCACAGAGTTCATTTAGACAAGTACGTTTTATTCATTGATATAAATGCTATCAGAATATACTTCACGCCTCATAATGGAAAATCCAATAGCGCTTATTCAGCAGCGCATAATTCTTCGCTTTTTAGATGCTACATGTGATTTAGTGCATTCCTCTTAATAAGTGTTCACAGATGAACAAAAAAAAAAGAAAACTCATTAGGCAGGTTGAGACGAGCGCATCTTTTCTAACATTCCACTTGATTATGTGTCACTTAAGAAATTATGACATTTTACTCACATTCATAGCCTTGCTCCATTTCAATTCCACTTTCCACCGTATTTTTTGTTCGTAATATGGCTTCAGCCTCTCACATACTCAAACAGCGTGTATCACTGCAGTGTTGCGCATTCACATCTGTCGGTCTAACTGTATCATTGAAGCGTTCAGTGGTTATCCTATAAAGCTATCTCGAAAATTTTACTGACCTCCTTGACTATGACTCTTCTAGTTAGGAGTGAGTTAAGCAAATTTGACTGAACGCTTTAATTGAGTTAAGGTGATAGTAAAAGAATTTAATTGGTTGCCGGAATCAAATTAACTCAGCTGGAATCCCAGCGAGTACACTGCGGTGTAACAAAATCAACCTCAGCAAACAAATTCAAAGCCAATTCATTTATCACAGGAAGCCACGTATGCCAAGCATTCGTGTCCATTGCAATGTTTTCATTTGTAGCCACAACTAATTCATGATATTTCCGCAGTCACGTTATTGACGCTGTTTTCGTTTTGATTTTAGCAAGGAAAACTGAAGCAAGCATAACATAATAATAACTTGGCATGTTGGACGACATGATTGGACGGAGTACATCGTAATGAAGAATAGATAGTAGTGGTTGGAAGATATTCATCAATATGCTTCAAAAACGTCGTTCGCTTTTATTGCGTTGAGCCTTTCTATTCATGATTCTATTTAATAATGTTTGTTCCGCTTATTTCGCACTCAGTTCTTGCATTAAACATAATAAAGTTGTGAACAGCACTTGAACAGCAAAATAAACCTAACCGAATTCATGTTATTATGTTTTCGATTTTTTTTTCAATTCAAATGGATCACGTTATTCACATCAGCTTATTTTTTATTGCCCTGCTCTTACGTACAAAAATTTGAGCAACGTTCGAAATTTATTTGTTTTGAGTTAATGCTCTCTTCCTCGTCGATGAAATGTAATTGCTTTCTGATATCCTACGAAACGTTCCACTCAACACTCCAGCAAAGGCATGATTACCTTTCACACGCAAAAAAGCTGCT